AATTATTCATAGTTATACATACAGAAACGAAAAAAATTCAAAATCTAAGTCTTCAAAAGTCTCTCGGAATATATTCACATTTGTAGTTCTTTGATAAACTAATAGATACTTTTAAAAAATAATCGATAAGTTACTAAAAGCGACACATACTCAATTTGAAATGTTTTCGAAAATTAATAAACTTTTTTACCAGTTATAAAATCTGGACTATAGTTCTTCGTTTAATTGCCGAACACTGTTTAGAAAATTCAATATGGTAACAAAATCTTCATTATACTTACTTTAAATAAAATATTTAATTTTTGTCTAATATCAAATCAAATAAAGTGTGTATCCCTTTTTAAAGAACATTTTTTCCCAGTTGAAAAATATCAAGTATGCTTCTATGAGTCATCTCTACATTGAGAGAAAAACAACATGGATTTTGCGTTCTGTCGATAAACACGCGGACATAATGACATATTTTTCTGTTTCTCCATGCTTAGAAAACAAACAAAAACAATGCTTATATATTCATAGAGTTAATAAGTGTCAATAGAAAAAAAAGGTTTTCTAGGATAAAATATTTGGTTGATAATTTATCGTTTTTGAATAAGCATATATCCAGGATCCGTTGGTTGTTGTGCAATATCCCATCTTGTTTGTAATTCTTCTAATGTTTTTGTTCCATTAGCACGTTTAAATGAATAATTTAAAATTAATTGTTCAATAATAATTTCCATTTCAACTTTTGCTAACCATCTACCAACACATTCTTTAGGACCAATACCAAATGGAAGAAAAACATTTTTTTCATTATTTGTATTTGATAAATCTTTATCTTCAACATTAATTAAATTAAATTGATTTCCTTGTACAAAATATTCATTTCTTCTATGCATATCAACTAAATTAATAATTATATTTGTTCCATTTTTAATATGAGTATTGTTATAAATATCATCATTAATAGCACATCTCATTATAACAGGACCAACTGGTTTAAAACGCATGGATTCTTTTAAACCATTTATAAGAATTTGATAAGAATTTTCTTTTAATTCTTTTAATAATTGTTCTTCTAGTTCCTTTCGATCACAAAGTGCAAGAAGAAAATAAAACATTGTAACAGATGACGTATCTGTGCCGGCAATTAACATTTCTAATATACATTGATTCATTTCTTCTTTTGTTATTTGTTGATTATTAAGAGCATTCAATAATGAATTAATAAATAAACAATTATTATTCATTACTCGTTTAGATATCAATTCATTAACAACATTATTTAATTGTTTTATTGATTTTTGATGTTTATTTGTTTGTTTTTCATCATAAATTTGAGTTGGTTTTAATAAAAAATATTCCCATGCTTTAAAATATTGAACAATTGAATTAACATAATATTTGGTTTTTTCAATTGAAATTATTCCAATAGGTAAATCAAGAAATAAATGACATGTTATTGTAAATGTTATTGAACGTAATAAATCCATTGTATCAATTATATTTGTTTCAATTTCATATTTATCAAGATGTTTTAATACATAATCAGTAGCATCATTTGAAACATATTTTGCATCATCTAATAGTTTATTATTTAAAGCTTTTTGAAAAAAATTTAAACGTTGATATTTCCATCGTTGAATATTTCTATTCCAAATAATTCCTTTATTTTTCATACCTAAATATTCTAATCCTAAGGAATTACCAAATCTTAATGTATAATTTTTTCCATTACGTCTTAATATATAATCAGCAAAATCTGGATTTGATATTATTATTGTTGGTTGATTAAAAAGATTTATTTGAACAATATCACCATATTTTGATGTATAATATTGAGAAGCTACTGGAACTGTTAATTTAATATATTGAAATGATTCAGGAAAAAATAGATTTAGTAAAATATTTCGAATTTTTTTATTTGATATTGTTAGTATTATATTAAAGAAATAATTCGGTAGACTTATCAGATGTTTTGGACCAGGAAATATTTTCTTTCTAGTAGAGTAACGTAATAACATATAAATTGTTAAAATAAAGATAAATAATAACGAAATTGTAACTAACATGAGTAGAGACTGATTGGTAGTTCTGAAAGTGATTAACGATTTATTGATGTTATAATAACAAGAATCTAGTTAACGAATTCTTTTTATAAACTTGTTTTGGGTTTTTTCCCAGACAGTGTCATAAACATTATCGTCTTTCTTTCTTTGCTTATTCGTTCGTACATTCAAACCTCATTAAAACCGATACTCCTAACATAGACGAGTATAAGTTGTATTGTACTTTATATCATAACTTGACACAATCAGTTCACAAATAATTTTTGAGGATGTCGAATATATGCAAACTTTTTAAGTTATTAAGAGACGACATACATCATTTTGTGATTTCGTCAGATAAAAGAATCTACTCTGTCTCTTGTATCAATAAGATAAAACGGTCTAAATCATTTTTCAAGATAACAGTTAAATTAAAGAACAAGATAGACATTGGTTTTTTTTTGAAAAAGATTAATCAGTGTTTTCTTTTTAACCAAAAATAAAAGGAACAATATTCAAGACTTTCTTTTTTGGATATTTATAAATAGAATGAATTTGTATATTGGTTGATCACAGTATGGAGTATGCTTTGATATAGGATTTAGATATCGTGATGTGGATGTAGAGATGGATTCTAGGGTATATTGTGAATATCGATGTGATGTGACACCCACACACCCACACCACCCACACCCAATGAAAAATTCAAACATGCTATCGAAGCGTTTATTTTAACGAATAATCATTCATGCATTTTGAGTATGGAAGCAAGTTGAGCAATCCTAATATGTGACTCGTTTCAAAAACTATCGTGGGCAGAAAAAATAGCCTTATCGAAACTTACACTTTGAACATTAAATCGCTGAAATTCGTTTTTCGTTCTTGAAAACAAACACTTCATTTGCTCAGGAGCATCTCAACCATTTTATTTAAATGAAAAATTCGAAAACTAAGAATAAATACTATTCAAATGGATTATTAAATTAATTGTATAATTGCTAGTGTGTTGTAAATTGCTATAGATTCTTTTAACTTTTTTTAAAATGTATTCAAAATAATATGATGAAACAGAACAGTTCTTCGATGATTTCTTTGAGAACAGGAAAAATGAAGAGAATGAAGGTGTTTTTGTCATAGACTGCTGTTGCTTATTGGTAATACTAGCAACAATAACAAACCTGTACTTTTCTTTTTCTTTTCTCCATGGTTGTTAACGAATTTCTCTATTGATTCTTTTTGTACTTGTGACAATATATTTAATGATGCAGGGTGAAATATTTCGATAAGAACAGAAAAAACAAATAAAAGAGCGACGACGAACAAACATTTCGAAAAAAGAGGGTGCAAACTATATCAGAAAATATGGATTTGAATCAACAAATGAAGAATTGCGACCTCATTGGCATAATAAGACCTAAAAAAACGATTACATCTTCCAAGAATGCAATTCCAGCAGCATCACCTGAACACACTACTGCTCGACCATGTCGACCATTTAATTCTCGTATTGTTCAAAACTTCGTCCTTATATGGTTACATTCTCACATCGACGAATTGAATAGCAATGACTTTCGTAATTCAATTGTTGAACTACAACGAGTTGTTAATAGCATCAATACATTTACCGATACGGATCAATGTATCGATTTTCTTACCGACATCAAAGAAGAAAAAATCCTGATGATTATTTCAGGTGAACTTGGTCAAAAGTTTGTGCCTCTCGTGCACGATATAACTCAAATTAATTCCATTTATATCTTTTGTAAAAATAAAACACAACATAGTCAATGGACGCAGCAATGGTCCAAAGTGAAGGACATATTCTCTGCGATTTCATCCATCTGCCAAGCACTCAAAGTAGATGCACAAAAATGTGACCAAGATTTGGTTTCGATCAGCTTTGTGTCAACAAATAATGGAAATTTAAATCAAGGTTTGGATCAACTAGATCCAACATTCATGTATACACAGATACTAAAAGAAATTTTATTGGCAATTAACTTTAATGAGCAACATATTAAAGACTTTGCCGCCTACTATCGCGAAAACTTTACTGCTAATGCTGTTCAATTGAACAATATTGACAAATTCGAAAGAGATTATGGTAATCATTTGCCCATCTGGTGGTATACTCACGAATGCTGCCTTTACTCAGTGCTCAACCGAGCTTTACGCCTGATGGAAATAGATACTATTATCAAAATGGGCTTCTTCATTCATGATCTTCATCATCAAATCGCACAACTACACTCGGAACAATTTAGTAAGCACCGTCAGTTGGAACAATTTACTATATTCCGAGGTCAAGGCATACCCAAGGCAGAGTTTGACAAATTGTTGAAAACACAAGGTGGATTGATCTCGTTTAACAATTTTTTATCTACGAGCAAAGATTTAAGTGTAGCTCACGGCTTCGCCAGTAGTTCTCTTGCTAATCCAGCCTCAGTGGGGATTGTCTTCGTGATGACAATTGATCCTTCAATAAAGTCAACTCCTTTTGCCTGTATCAACAACTTCAGTTACTACAAGAAAGAAGAAGAGATTCTAATCTCGATGCATACTATTTTTCGCATTGGTAATATGATACAGAGCAACGATGACAATCGTTTATGGCAGGTAGATTTAATACAGACCAATGATAACGATCAACAGTTAAATGCTCTTACTGAACGGATACGTAATGAGATCAAAGGATCGACCGAATGGGATAGATTGGCTAAATTGCTAATCAAACTTGGCCAATTTGATAAGGCTGATGAATTATACGAAGTTCTGATCGATCAAACATACAATGATCGTGAGAAAACACATTTCTATCATCAACTTGGATGGAGCAAGAAAAAGCAACGAAAATATGAGGAGGCACTTGAATATTATCAAAAAGCGCTTGACATCAAACAAAGAGTCATGCGTCCAAACCATCCTTCATTTGCCGTTTCCTTTAATGACATCGGCTCTATATATGAAAACATGGATGAACACACACAAGCACTTTTGCATTACGAAAAAGGGCTTGAAGTTCAACAAGAAATACTTCCTCCTAATTATCATGGCTTGACATCTTCTTGCAGCAAAATTGGATCTGTTTACGAAAAAATGGGCGACTACTCAACAGCACTTTTATTTCATGAAAAAGCAGTTGAAATTCATAAAAAAATACTTCCTGTAGATAAACTCAACTTGGCTTATTCTTACAATAATATCGGTTCTGTGTACGAAAAGATGGGTGAATATATGAAAGCACTTTCATCTCACGAAAAAGCACTTGAAATTAAAAAAGAAACACTTCCTCCGAATCATCCTGATTTGGCTCAATCGTATAGTAATATTGGTTTCATTTATGTTAAGATGTGTCAGTACTCAAAAGCTCGTCAATTTCATCAGTGTACTGTTGATATTGGACAACGTTCGCTACCTACCAATCATCCACGTCTTCAACAATGGAAAAAAAACCTCGAATATGTCGCACGAAAATGTAACTGATTTGTTTGTCAAAAATAAAAGTTTAGGTTGAAAATATAGAATTTATTAATCTGAGAGACATCTTCACTGACAGCGAAACTCTGTCTTGCTGACAATTTAACTAAAGAAAACCATTCGATAAAGTAACTGATACACGTATGAAAATACAGTGATGGCAAAATTATTCGTACGATTTTGTTTTAATCATAACTTAATAATGAATAGGTATTTTGTGGAATCTATGCTGCAAATATCAGCTCATTTGAGACTTATGCGTTGAGGACATTTCAACATTATTGAATGTTGATGGTAACCAGATGTAAGCTATTTAGCGTACCCTTTTTTTGCAAAAGAAGAACAAAAGATGGAAACATCACACTCAATTGTTTTCAGAGTATGAATCATACACCAAAACTTATTTGTTATGTACGCAAGTCGAAAAAACTACCATTTGTGACTTAATGACATCGAGGGCTATTCTATCTTTCGAAATTTTCCTATTGCATCGAACCATGAAAATATTATTGAATACACCGTAGTTGAAAAAAGGGTACGGGTGTGGGTGTGGGTGTGGGTGTGGGTGTGTATGAATGAGAGATATATCCACACCCACACCCTTATTTTGTGAACTCCTCATTTCCCTATAATATAAATCAATAAAGAAACGTTTTCTTCTATGAGAATATTATCTTTAGTTTTTACTAAGTAGTCTACAAAAAAAGTTATGATACTATAAATGGAAATGAAATATACAGAAAATTCTGTTGCATATATTCTTTTCATGTATCCGTTCGATTCTTGATAATGAGATTACATGTTGAAGTGATGTTTATTTTATGAATACAAGGATTGCATTTATATTTATTTTATAAAAAAAAAAGGATAAAGTATCATTCCTAGTCCAGCGGAATAAACAGTCAATAGCCTTCTATAATGGAAATTCATATTGCTTTTCCAAAAATGGTCTTGTCTTGTGAGCTACTTTTTGCTAGCATTTATCTAAAAAAATTAAGGATTTTCTTTTGCTAGAAAAAAAGGTGATTTTAATTACAAAAAGAAATGGGTGTTTATGCAAAACCTTGGAAATTTGCAGAATTTCTGAAAAACATTTAGGAAAGTCTATAATCTGCTATTATGCCTTGTGAAATTTTTCTTGCGGATAGCTTTCTAATATAGAATGATTTTCTATTCTTGGAAGGAAGATTTGAAATTAAAATCGACTATTTTTATTTAAGCCAATTCAAGTCCGGTTAAAACCTTTTTTTCATGTTCACAAACTTCTTGTCTTTCTTGAGCAAGAAAGTTATATGATATAGAACACTTCTTGAGATATGCAGAAGAAAACAAATTTGACTAGAGTTCTAGTTATATTTTAAGCTGTAGATAATGTTTAATCAATTAAAAATTGCCTTTTAAAAACCATTTTTTCTCGACCAAAACAGAGTGAATATTAAATAAGTGGATCAAAATAGTGTCTTTTCAAAAAAATTTTTATCAAAGCAGGGTTAAAACCTAAAAGTGTGCCCTGTCCTGGTATTAGACTGGGGTGTTAGGACAGTCCTGCCCTGCGACGGTCTCTGTTGTCTATTAATTTGTATCTTTCTTCGAATAATATGAAATTCGTTTCGAATCAATCGATAGATCATTTCTATTAGCTCCATGATTGAAAGAAGACTCATGCCAATCCATAGGCCAGTTTGACCGCCAACATTTGAAAATACATCAACTATACCGATGGTCGCTGATTGTGTACTATTTTCGACAACACTTGTTTCGCGTACAACATTGATAGTAAGATAATTTTTACGAATTTCGTCTTGCCATGTACTAGACCAATTCGTCGCTAATGGAATCGTGGAATTTTCAACAAACTGTTTAATTTTTTCCATTTCCCATTCACCTGGTTGTGATAGTGAAGAAGTTTGTATAATAAAATTTTCTATTGCACATTCTTGTAAACATTCTGAACAATAACTTTTCATAAGAGAAGATGAAATTAAAAGTTCACCAATGTTTTCCTTGTAACACATATTGTCGAATTCGCAAAGAGGTGCAAAAACGACTTGATTCATGCTCGAAATATAGAGTTTGCGACCATTCCATAGGATAGGATTGACACAACGGCATTGTTCATACCTAAGATACAATGAATTCCATTAGCTAAAATATCATGAAAATTAGAGCATTTTATTATCAATTAAAGTACACTTACGCATAGACCTGTCCACAAAGTTGATAACATAGCATTTCAGAATAGCCATAATTAGCATTATTGTAATATTCAAACATGGCTTGTATATTTGGAGATATTTTTTTAGTGCATGTTGTATAGGGTGAAGATAATAAGTAAGTTGTTTTCTTTTTATATCCAAGTTTGTGTCTTTGTCCTGGTGTTAATTCAATACCAGCTGCTTCAATATTTGGTAATTGTGTATTATCGTGAACTAGAGCTATGGCACCAAACCCTTAATAGAGAAAATTAATTTTGTAATATTTTCTGAATAAAATGTTGACTTACCGCTAGGTAGAAGGGGCACATATTGATGACTATGTATGTAAAGACCTATAGAGAGCTTTCCATCACCACCATATTCGTTGGCATAAAGTATATTTCGATTGGTATTATTTTTCAATGCTGCATTGAATGTATAACAGGCACCGTAAAGGAATGATGTAAAAGGAACGAAATCATTTATTGAACATGGCATATTATTGAATGAACATTTGTACATCATCGATGAAAGTGAATAGAAATATTTATCAAGTGTTTTGTTGCTATTCAAAATATGTATGACAAATCTTGTAAGATCTAAAAATGAAAATGAGTCCCATGCTGTATCATTGACACTTGTATCATTGCTCATGATAGAGTAGTTTAGAAAAGACTCCCAAAATAGATCCAGACGGAATGGTGAGATATTACAGAAGCTGAAGGCTGGAAATTCTTGAGGCCATTCACTAATGAAACTTGTATCCATACTTGTTGGATAATTGAAATAAGCCAAGATCGCTTTGATAATAAAATACATCGTTGCACCAGTAAAACTAATGAATGAAAGGGACCAAAAAATACGATTATGTAGACTTTCACTCCGAGAAATACTCGGTAAAGCATGCGTTGATGTATTCGAACCGAATTCACGAATGATTGAAAGGCGATGAGATAACTTGTTTTTTGGTTTAGCTATTGAAACATCATTGATTGGTGAGAGAACTATGTTTTTATTTCGATTCCACATAAAAGTTATTTGATGAAAGAAAATCTAAAATTAAACGTTTTCAAGATTAATATAATTCGCTAACAAATTATTAGTGGCTCAATATTTTCAATAGAAAAATAGATGAATACTTCAAAACTAATGGCTATGATATATTGCTCACTTTGTTTTTATTATGTAAGAATTAAATCAACCTCGTGATTAGTCACATTTTATTTTGCAGCACTAAAGAGATTACATAATGCTTCTGTTTCACTATTAATTATAATGCTTTTATGAAACGTAAGTATGGATGAATGTTGACATATATCGTGAGATATGTACCGATATTCTTATAATTGATTGGCAGACCATGGCATAGATTTCTGTTTGTTTATAATAGTCTAGCGATTTTTCCTACATACCGGGTTTGGTCCTATCATTGTCTTTTACATAAATGATAAAAGTTCTCCAACATGAAAAAAGCAAGAATTACGTACACATAAGGATACTTCAAGTATTTGTTAAAGTTATCTTTTACAACTGCTTAATCTAATACTCACATGCATCTCGAGCTTATTTAATTGAAGTCTACCTGCGAGTCAAACCACAATACTTCGTCATATTTCACTGATACTAAACTCTTTAAGTACAATAAAGTAGTTGGACTTCAGTAGCGAAGCTCGTAATACATAGTGATATCGACTATAAACTGATAAAGGTAAAGTTCTTGGACTTCGAATGTCAATGATAGTTTATCGGTTGTTAAAAAAGAACATGTTGATTTCAACAATGTTTAAATGAAGGTCAATCATTTTAGACCATTTGTAAAACATTTCTATTTGTTTTAATCAGTAATTAAATTGTGTCCAGAGCCATGAATTTACCTACTCTATTGTCTAATCAAGTGTATTTGTATACATACGAATGTATGAGGTACAAATAAATAACACTGTTCTAAGGTTTTTCACAAGTGTTTAATAATTTGAACTCATAAGAAGAAAAAGTCAAATTATTTGCTTCGAACCAGGACTGTTAATTTATCATTCTATTTTTGCGTATGCTTCTTTCACAATCAGTATGCTTTCATCGTAGTGTTCTCATAGTTATAACACAAAACAAATATAATATTTTCTGCTTCATATAGTTGTGCACATAAGTAAACGATATAGAAAGAAAAACACTCTCAATAATAATGTAAAACAAGTTCTTAGAATTATAAAGAAAATGCTCGATTGCGCATGATTATTCGAATTTCAATCATCTACAGTAGATTATATTTTGATTAAAAAGCTTGCCAAAGCAAGCCCTTATAAATTTAAAATGTGTAAATCACATGCAATCACTTTCTGAATTACAGAGCAAAATTTTACGAGTATGAAAACATCCTACAAAATTGAGAATAGCTCAGATTAAATATGCGCATCTATCTATTGATTTAATATGAATATTGTTCGCATGGACGCTCTAATTTCTTTATAATTCGTCACTACTACTGTCAATTATTTTCATATATGGGATCGGTTCAGTTTGAACTTTTTTTTTAACACCACGTCAGTTCTATGTGTGATATGTATGAGCATGTGTATAATTACCACAACACCTGGGTTTGAGTGGGTGTAGATGAAGACAAGCCAAACATTCACATCCACACTCATCTCTCACTTTTCTGAATTACGTCCGATTGGGCTAAAATTTTGTTTTTGTCGGTAATTGTGTTCGAGCTTTCTTTTGAAACCATAAAAAGCATATGTCAAAATTTTTCTCATGACAGGTATTCTTAACTAAGTCATGGACTTTCTCTTAATTGATAAATAACAGATGAGAACGTTTCCTATAAACAATATCAAATATGATTTAACAATGAAACAGAATTTTTAAAAACCTCTTCTAAATCTTTTTTTTTCATAGGAATGCTTATTAAAATCCCTAAAAATAACATTTTAAACTTTGGAACAAAAACGTTAGACAAATTTGCAAAATTCTATGCTAGCCTTTGTCAAGGTTTCACTCCGAATCAAGGTTTTTTGGTCATATTTTATTTGAACAATATCTCAATCAAACACGAAAGGTCAAAAAACGAGTATATTTGCAAGAAATTTTTTAAAACATGCATTTACTTGCAAATAGTGTTTAATGCGTCTGATCTCAAGCACGATCTTGCAAGACATTCAAAATATGTATAATTGTTACATATAAATGCAGGTCAACTACACATGCAAACACATACAAATTTTAAAGTTTTTTAGTAGAACATGCGAGATCATGAGTGACTCTAATGTTTGCAGATACCTGCATGTGCTGATCTTTCATGTTCATGCAAGGCATATGACTCAGGTAGAAATGCAAAAGTATCAGCTACAGCTACCTATGAGATAATTAGATTATCTTCAAACCGTGCATGTCAAAGCAAAAACATCCTATTTCTGAAATTCAACAGTAAAGCGATTCTGCGTTGCCATGCAAAATTTTATTATTTTGTAGTATACATACTGATCCATGCAAACATTTAGTTTTTTCATCGAAGGTGTGGGTGTGGATCTATTCTTCAATGGTACTCACATCCTGAAGTATGCCTGTTTGGATAGGAAGTTCATTTCCGAGACTTGAATTAGTATCTCCTTTTTTTTATAAGTTTTAATCTGATAAGAATCGTAGGACGGCAATTTTTTGTCACCACTTCAATCATTTTGGATTGCATGTTCTCAAAAAAATTTTCAAAGGAGCTAGTTTCATCTGAATTTATTTCGTTTACCAGATCGAGACATGACAAAAGTTTTCATGTCATACGCGGTACAATCAAACAAAAATAGTTCGCTCGAATAAAATAATCAATAAACGTTTCAGATCAAGTTTGTAAAAACGAGTATTGATGTTCATAGTGATCACGAAGTTCTAGGAAGAGTCCGAGGCTGCAAGTTTTTCCGCGTAATAGGTATAGGATTCTGAACGAAACTTCGTATAAGGATCAGGACGGGGTTACCATCATATTCAGAATGATGCGAATGAGTAGACTTCGAATAAATTGTACTTGAACCTAAGCACATCATATCCCAATGTCCATCACAACTGTTCATGGATTCGTGATGTTCATTATGAAACGAACAGTAATCGTTTTTTTGTTGTTCGTACCTGCAAAGATCTTGTTTGAACAGAATACACCACAATATAAGTTGGTATAGCAGCAGAGTTATTGTATAACAATAGATACTCATTTGGGGCAATTGAATAGTTTCGACTTACTACAATCGTATCATAAGTCATTCTTGCTATTAATCCAGCAAGAGAAGATTGGGAGGGTGGGTGTGGGTGGTTTCAATTCTTCGCCCACACCCACATTCAACAAGCTGGTAGCATTTTATATGAGCGTTATATTATGGAGTGGAAGGCTCTTAATCTTAAAATAATTATTGTCACTCGTGTAGGTGTAAAAAATCTCATCAAAAGAATACTAAACTTAGTTATAGTTAGTTGTTAATTTTTCGAAAGAAAATATGATTGACACAAGGATACCTACACTCATATTTCACACTCCACACTATTTAACGTTGAGTAAGAGGCCGATGATGTGTTGCGACCAAGATAAGTTTTTGCTGAAAAAACATGCATCATGATATCGACTATTTTTTATCGAATTTGTAAGTGAATCGTGCTGGTGTGAAAAAATGCCAGAAGCGATTATAAATACAAGAAGCGTCTTTTAAATATTGTTATTCTTCTTTCAATCCCAAAGTCATCTGATACCAGCAAGACAAAAATCAGGTTTGTATTTAAGTGATTAATAGTTAGGTGTTTATCAACGAATTTTAATCAGATGATTTGCAAAGTCAATTTTGCTTGATATTTATAAAAGAATATCGGGGAGTAGCTCCACACTTTGCCTTTAATACGTCGCTGCTATCAGAGAACCTAAGATGAGAATAGAAAATTGTGAATGGTTTTCATATAAACCGCTCATCAATGTATAGAAACTCAGCTTTGTCCCAGTTCGCCTCCAGACTAAAACTTCATCGTGCTCCAACCTAAATTTCTCTTGATTTTTGGTCAAAAGCTTTTCGTATCATATAAACCTGGAAACACTGAGCATAGAAGACATTTCAAATCATGACTGATGCCATGTAAACAGTCGAGCTCGTGCGGCATTGGATTGAACGCAGTATAGTAGGGTAGAAAACTTAATTACTGCTCACACCATGATCTTCGAGTAGTGTTCCAATTGGTATCTCCACGCAATCAAAATCAAAAATGCATTACATAAGAATTCTCATCAGAAAGAACTAAACTCACATATATCATTATTCAGGAACGTTGCCCAGTACAACGATAATGTAAAAATCAATCAAAATCGAAAAATCAGACTATGTATGGCGAAAAACTATTATAAACATAATAATTTTTATGCTGTAAAATCATGGATGAATTCTACGCAACTTTTATGCAACTTGAGGCCTGTAGCCATCAGATTTGCAATAGTTTTAATGCTCGAGAGCTATTAATGGAACCGAAAACATTTTTCGCAAAAACAGAAGAGGTATCTTTTGTTCTATCATTCGATATTGTTGCAAGTAGATACCTTTGGACCATCGATCTACTGAAAATAACGACCGTTCAATTTCTATATCAGGAGAAACCAAACCGCACAGCTCAAAATGACTTTTAAGCTCAGA